CCGCCTCAAAGTGTTCCTCAAACCACACAGACCCTCTGAGGACTCCCCCTCCGGGAAGCCCTCCCTCTCAGAGGCCTCAGGCACACACTCCGCCCATCGCCCGGCCAAAGGCCCCTCTCCTATGAGGCATTTACATTGTTCCTACTTGAGCGCGAGTGCTCATGATGTGCAAAGTGATGTTCTTTGTGCTTTACCTGTATTTCCTCATTTAATCCTCACACAACCCTCTCGGGTACGGCCTATTCTTATTCCCCTTTTAGTTCAGGGAGCTGAGGCTCGGGGAGGTGGAGGGGCTTGTGGTCACAGAGCCAGCCAAGATCGCCATCTGTGGCCTCGCGGTCAGAGGGCTCAACTGCCATTTCCATCATTTTCTCTGCCTTTGCCTCCACTGGGCTCCTACACCCACTAGGCAGGGGTCCCCAGGACCTAGCCCAGGGCCTGGCACTGAGCAGGCACCTCTGACTGTAAATAAAAGTGAGGATGGACTGATGGCGTCAGAAGAGACTCCGGAGCCAGATGAGCAGCCAGAGGCCAAAAGGGGTGGGGGGAGGCTCCGTAATGGTGGAAATGGAGGCAGTGTGACCGGTGGGAATGAATGACACCCATGTGTGGACGAACCTGTGCCACATGGGACAGACACCTCCCCACCCAAACGTGCATGACCCTCTCGCCCTGATGTTAGGTCCAGCACCCTGCCTCCGTGCTTGGCTGGGAGAGGGTCCCAAAGGGTCCTGCAACTAGGGAGCTAGAAACCCTGACAATAGGTCCCAACTCAGCTCTCAAGGGAGAAGGGAGAGGGGACTTTCTCAGCCCAGCATTGAAGGTCACCTTGTTCTTTATCCCTGAGAACTGTTTGCAAGGCCTGGGTTCCACCTTGGGATGGCTTGGCTGTGTTACCTTGGGCAGGTTACTCACCCTCTCTGAGCCTCAGTCTTCTCTCTGTACAATGACCTGCCTAGGAGTCTACATTCTGGCAGTGTTTTCCCTGGTGATGCCTGCTCCTCCATCTGGGCACCCCCCTCCCCAAGTCTCCAACAGCCCAAGCGTGTCTTCAGACAGATGTGCCCATAAAGGCAGGGACCAGGCCTGAGTGGAGCCCAGGCCACCCCTCCAAGGGATGGTGTCGGCTCGGGAGATGCTGAAGCAGGGCCGCCTGTTGCTCCAGCCTGGCAGCTTGGGAGCGCAGGCTCGGTCGTGTTTTGAGCCTCGGGGACAGCAGGTGTGGACGGTCCCCAGCCTGGCCTCCCCCAGCCTCAGCTGTGCCAGCTACAGAAAGGGCAGAAGGCTGCCAGACGTCCCCTCCAGCCGCAGAGGGAGAGGAGGATGGGAGACACCGGCGGTCAGAAAGGTGCCCCTCCACCCTGCCCCCAGCCCCCAGCCCCGGGAGTCCAGGGAATTGCCTAGAAAGTGGCTAAGTCACGTCTCTGTCCAGCTGTGGGGGCTGCATGGAAAGCCAGGCTCCGGGGGAGGGGCTGGAAAATGACCCTCAGGGAAGCTGTGGCCTCACAGGGGTCATGTGGCCCAGGGTCACAGCATTCCCCTCCACATGGACCTGCCAGGCTTCAAAGGGAACCTCACCTGCTGTGCGGGGGCAATGGCAGCAGCCCATGAGGGAGAGGTGAGGGGGCGCCGGCTGAGCAAGCAGCAGCCCCGGCCTGTGGTCCAAGCCTGTCCCCTGGCTTTCCTCTACGGGCGGCGTGTACGTGGGCCGGGGCCGTGTGTGTGCCCGCACACGCGTGGGCGCCGACCCCGGCACACACCACAGGCAGGCATCTCAGCATACACCGCGCCGGGCGTGCGTGGCACCAGCACTGGCTTGCCCCATGTGCAGGATAAGAACATGATGGGCAGGGGTTGGCACACTGCAGCCCAGGCCACTGCCTTCCGCCTGCTTTTGTGCAGCTCACGAGCTGAGAGTGAGAACACGGCCGCATTCATTCATCTACACACCATGCATGGCTGCTCCTACGCTGTCGGCGAGCTGTGTCAACAGAGACTGTGGGGCCCACACAGGCTAAAATATGTCCTGTCTGACCCTGGCTGGCTCCAATGTTAGGGCACTAGCAAAGCTGGGCATGCTGCTGTATCCCCCAAGTTCAAGTTCAGCTTCAATGGACGTATCAAGAATTTTATAATGACACGATCTAGATAGAAGCTGTGTCTATTTCAGTACATATATGCAAGCTTTGGGTTTTACAACGTTATATTGTTTTGTGGGGGGGAGGGAAGGAGAAAGAGAGAGAGAGAGAGAGAGAGAGAGAGAGAGAAGAGAAGAGAAGAGAAGAGAAGAGAAGAGAAGGGAAGGGAAGAGAAGAGAAGAGAAGAGAAGAGAAGAGAAGAATCTTTTTAAGATTTAGGATCTGCGACTCGTCTTGTGCATCCATAATATTCAGCACACGTTAGGCACATAGTCAAGGTTTGTGGGATAAAATAACAGGCCTGGTTCTTTCCATCAACCCAACAACCTTCCTCGCAAAGCAACACTGTTGTCCATCTCACAGACTTGGAAACTGAGGCCTGGAGAGGTGAGGACACCTGCCCGAGGGCCTTCCCTGGACCATTAACAATGAGGACAAGATGTCCTGGGAGAAGTGGGCGCGCTATGGCATGTCCGGTGGGAGGCATCGGGCCCTCCCTCTAGCAGTTTTCCAGGCTTTCTAGGTCCCCACCGGCCCCATAGGTTCCCAGTCTTCCTCCCTCCCCCGGAGGGATGAGGGCTTTTTTCCCTTTTCCGGCAAACAGGCAGGTGTGGAGTGAGCAGTTCCGGGAGGGGGGGTGGGGAAGTGAGGGAGCTGACCTCTGGGGGACCCAGAGAGGCTGCACATGGCAGAGGAGCGGCTGAGAGGAAGGGCCTGCTGAAGGGGGGGTGGACGAGCGAGGAACCCAAATGGGGGTGCTGTGAAAAGGGCCCCAACATGGGGGGGGGAATCAAAGACAAATGGGCCAGCGAGGCAGCCTTGGAGGGGCCTACCCCTGTTCTAAGGAACCCAACTCCCCAAACCAGACCCTGGAACATTTCCATCCAGCACCCGGTCTGAATCTGCAGAAAACACCAAACTCCGAGCCGCGAGAAAAGCCGCCTCCTGCGGCCGACCTCAGCCTCCGGGAGAAACCAGAGCACGCGGCAGGGGCACCGGACTATGGAAGAATGGGCGCGAGGACGCGATGGTGACTTGTTCGAAACATTTAAAGTCCTTTCGTGGCCGTCCAGGCCGGGCTCCCACCTCCTCTTGCGTGGCCTTCCTCACAATTACGGCACCAAACGCAACGGATTCGAACGTCCTCTCCTTCCTGCCACAGGGCCTTTGCACTGTTCCCCTGCCCGCAACACTGGCACCCTTCGCTTACTCCTCAAACTCCTGTTCTGACATCCCTTCCTCAATGAGCCTTCCGTGACCACCCCTAGGCCAGGTTTATTTCATGTTCGCAGACCGGCAGCTGATGATCTGTGAGATTACGTGTGTGTTTGCTCTCCGCCTACACCGGCTACACCGGGACCTCCAGCCGAGGTCCCCCAGTGGCAACCCTCTGCTCAGGGCCGGCTCCTTGCAGTGGTCTCGTGCTTAGCACAGGGTTGGCCACACAGCAGGAAATGAATAAACGATCATGTGGTGGCGTGAATGAAAGCTTGACACACTAGTGACCGCAGTCAAAGCCTGGAGTTATGGGAACATAGATGTTCTGAGAAGTAACGTCAATAAACCATTTGTGACGGGTTCGCCTGCGTCCCCACACTCGGTGACCATGCGGCGGGCACCACGCCGTGTTCTGAAGCAGAGCGACCCTCAGCACTTCGTGATGACGGCCCCGTCCTGGATCTATCTGTCCCATGTGTCAGCCATGGTGGCTCCTGAGCACTGGCAATGGGCTAGCAGGACCGAGGAACTGAACTGTAAACTGTGTTTAACTTTAATTCATGTAAATTTCAACAGCCACCTGGGTCCATGGGAGAAGGGACGTGTCCTACTGTCTCCACGTGGTCCTGCCCTCCAGGGACTCCCAGGACGGCCCCCAAGCCCCCACCAGCTGGCCCTTGGGATCGAACAGGACAAGGATTCTTCGGCCGCCTCCATGAGGCGCGCCCCCCCCTCCCCCCACTGCCCACCAGCTTGTCACAGAGACCACCGGGCAACGACTCGGGGAGATCTCCGCGGTGACGGCACGTCTCTGGGACTGGACCTCCCCATTTTTATCACTATTGTCACCCATCACACCGCCACCAAGACTGCCACCAGCCTCATTCTCTCCATCACCACCGCGCCATCTCATCAACCCCAAGACAACCACCAACACAGCCGTCAGCAACACAGTCACAACTCCCACCACCAACTCTATCTCCTCCATCATTCCGGCCCCGCCCCCATCAACGCCACCAGCATCATGCCACCCGACACCACCACCACCACGGGGAGCCGGTAGAGGGTCCCAGTCAGAGCGTTGGCTGTGGAAGTCAATGGCCTGGGCTTGAATGCCAGCTCTGACTTTAAATCACTTAGCTGCTGTGAGTCTCAGTTGCTCACTCTGTAAAATGGGTTGGCTGCTAATACTAACACAGTCATAAGACGTAACTGCCCGTGATGGGAAAAAATCAAGTGAGGGAGTGCATGGGAAGTCCTTTCACTGCGATAACTGAGTGCTGGTGTCCTACGTTCTGTGCTCAGTGAGCCCAGTTTTGTTCAATCCTCACACGGCGGTGAGAGCTATGAACCCATTCTACAGATGAGGAAACAGCCCGGAGAGGTGATGACGTAACTGGCCGAAGGCCCTCAACTAGGAGGCTGGATTGGGACTGAACTCTTAAACAGGACGAGGCCAGGCTGTCCCTTTTTGGGGGGAAGCGAGGGGAGGTGGGATCAGCAGGCTGGCCTTCCTGAAGCCCCAGGCTCCCACCTTAGAGGTGGTGTGAGGGAGTGATGCTGGTGGCGTTTGTGTCTCAGCCTGGCCCACGGGTGGGATGGGGTGGGGTGGGATGGGATGGGGTGGGGGGCCAGTCCACTCACCTGTGTCCTGGCGAAACTGGTGCATGGACTGCAGGTCGATGATGTAGGGCACCAGCTGGGCATCCACCTGCCCCAGGACCACGGAGCCGCGGGCATCCTCCTTGAGAACGTTCTCGATGTGGTGGCACACGGTGGCCGAGTAGGGCCGCCAGCGGTTGTGCTCATTCAGCCACTCCCACACCACCACGCGGGCCACGTTCTGCGGCGGGAAGCCCAGCCCGT